CACCAGTCCTTGTTGTTCATCTTCCCATTGTTCGGCTCAACAGTTTAATTTGAGAAACAATTCCAAAATTCTGGCAATTAATGAAAGTAAATGAGGGTTTCTACAGCTGACAAATTTGGCCAATTATCAGGAAATACTAGCTCAGCATGCTGGTAGCAAATTTTTGTTTGGGATATTCATTATGGATACTGGCTCAGGTAAATGTTGCCAATAAACTCTCATATTAGTCCACTTATACGTTTTCTTGTTTTGTTTTGGTTTTGTTTGGTTTTTCGAGACAGGGTTTCTCTGTGGCTTTGGAGCCTGTCCTGGAACTAGCTCTGTAGACCAGGCTGGTCTCGAACTCACAGAGATCCGCCTGCCTCTGCCTCCCGAGTGCTGGGATTAAAGGCGTGCGCATGGCTCAAGTGCTCTTAAAAACTGAACCGTCTCTCCAGCCCCAAGGATCTCTAAAATTTTAATCAAAATTCTAACAGAAAAGCTTTTCAAGACCAAGATAGCAAAAAAAAAAAAAGACCCAAAACCAAAAAAACAAAAAAAACCCCACACACATTTTATTTGCATGTTTAAAAGTAAAATATCCTTAGCACCAATAAACAAACAATATTTATCAAAATTATTTAGAAGAGTGATGAAAAGCAGAAGAAATGAAGCATTGGCCCACCTTTTGGAGATACTTTGCTTTCTCTTCAGCTTCCTGAATCTTTTGGGCTTTAGCGAAGACATTTGCCTCCTCTAGAGTAAATAAAGTCCAATTTAATCTGAAGTAGCTTTGTCATGATTTTTATAGTATTGGCATTAATTTGGATATGGGTCAATAGAGCAGGAGGGAACACAAGTATATACTGTCTTGAAACTTTATAACCAGATTCATAGATAGCTGGAGGCTGAATTAATTATCTATGCTACGAGGAAACCTTTAATCCCTTTAGGAGATGAGTAAGCTTGTGTGGCAGCAACAACAGTCTCTAAAGAGAAAGTGCCTGTGGGCTCAGAGATGATATCTGCATTTCTAGTAAGGCTTCAGAGAAAGTTATCTTCTGAGTGAGTGGTGTGGGCCCTGAGGCAAGGTGTGCCACTTACTTAGACTACAGTGTAAATGTTTACAAGTCTAAAAATCCCACGAGCAGTCTGGGCAGTCCACCCACTGAAGGGTGTTAAAACCCGGTACTTACTGTTATGATCAAAGGGGAAGGGTCGGACTGGAGTTTTCTCTAAGAAATACAAATGGAAAGTAAGTTATTGGAAAAGCAGACATTAAAAGTGTTTGAATTTTCTGTACTTATTAACATTGAATAAGAACACTTTATACATCCTTGGTCAAAGGCTTGTCAGTCAGGGAATGTGGTTCCTAAATTTGATTCGGCCTCCAACTTTTTCTCAGGCTTTCAAATTTGAATTCAATTTTTTTTGTAAACGCTTTCCTAACCTTTTTAGTCAACACACATCATTTTCTTAGATTAACCCATCCTCTTTGCCAAATAGAAGCCCTCCTTTAAGGAACTCTTAGGACGCATTTTTTTTTATAAGTAACGACGACCCTATCTTTGCGGTGGAGAATCGCAACAGTTTCAGAACTATTTGTGTATGTATTTGCAGGTAGCTCTTACCGCTTGTTTATACCTAGCAAGACGGTTGATTTTCTTACAGTTAGGCTGGGCAGTTTCTTCTTGGAGGAGGCAGCCGCATTACTCACCGCTCACTTGGACTTTAGAATTCTTCGCCACTGGTAGCCGCTGGCTGCTGTCCCTGGTCAACACCAGCTGAGATTCAGTGGGGGGATACATGGACGCCCCGAGCCAAAACTGCTTAGCCAAGCTGGCATCCTGCTCAGAGCAGCCGGTGAACACCAGTAATCCAGGGGAGCAGATTTCCTGGGATTCCTTCCCGGAGCTAGGACTGTTTCTGGGACCCGTTTCCATGGTGACTCAGGACGCTTCGCTCAGTTCCTTCGCCCTGCCCCCACCGGAGAACCGTCCCTTTGGTAACTGTCACAAGGGAAGCTTGAGTTTCTTAGTTATCTGGGGTTCCTCAAGCGTGTGTGGCCCTGGCTTCTGTCGCGGTCACAGCCTTCGGGGCCAGTCAAGCCTCGGAGTCAAAGCCTCAACTGTGTGATGTGTACAGCCCTGGAGTCAGTGGAGAGCAGTTAAGTCTCTTAGTTCCCAAATTAGTGTCCCCTCCCCGAAATGGCAGAATAAAGTGAACTTCAAAAGCTCTTTTGGACAAGATTGCCAAGGCTCAGCACCCCAACCCGCGAAGTTCTCAGGTCTGCGTTGATACGTCAAGGCAGCATAATGTCCTAGACCAGAATTGGGCTGAGAGGTACCCATGGATATGGTTTTTGTGCTTAAAAAAAAAATCTTTTATTGCAAATCTTAGGAAACAAGCTGGATTTAGATTGTGTTCACTAATTATTCACACGAAAAGTTACCTACAGTGCAACCGTTATCATAAAAAAAAAATACCCAGCAAAGTGGGTTGAGCTCCCCCACCCACCGTAAAAAATTATGAAAACATTTTTAATGTATCCTTAAAAGCAGGTTTACAATCATGTGTGAGCGTTTTCTTCCTGGAGATTTTGTCTATATAAAAATCGATCATTTAATTACTTCAGGGAGCAGAGATGGACAACCTAAAGTCAGTTTTGGAAAGGAAATAGACACATGATAATGTTGATAGCCGACATTTTTCGTGGCACTTTATTTTTCGGTGTTAATAATACAGTGTCGGGAAAAGTCCAGAGATTTATAATCACAAGTCAATATAATGACCAGATCAGCTAAGGAATGATTTCTATTTTCCAATATATCTAAAAATCACTGAAACGTACCCCCACCCCCCAAAAAAATCTTGCACACATTGCATACTTACCTCCCCACACACATATTGCACACACTGAAAACTTGGCGGCCAAGTGCTAGCTTTTCTTTTGCCTAAACCACTTAGTAGGTAATAGATGAGCGTTTCCCTATGGCCCTGTCCTCACCAAATGGATGATGCACACGGGGCTCAGTCGGAGGAATCTCAGTCTTTTTACCTGGCTGTGTGGTTAGTGATTGGTACTATTAGCAATCAGCTAACTACACTGCCTAGTAACTAGACTCATAGACAAAGCCTGCAGTCTTAGTTGGTGCTCTCAGATGCTGGCTGAGGCCAGCACATCGTCAGTCAGGCTGTGGTTGACTCTAGTCGCTGCCTTGGTGACAGCTTTCTCAGAAGTGGAAACCAGGCAGTTAATCACAGGAACTGTTCTGGGGGGCTCCTCCGAGCACATTTTTTTTTTTTAAATGTTAAGGCCGGTGCACACAGATTATCTTTGCATATCACTGAACGTTTTGCTTTGGCTCCTAGACACAGGTAGTCCCTAAAGGAAGCCGCCGCTCTCCGAGGGTTACTTGCACTTAGACCTCGTGCTCTGGCCCCTTCGCTGACGCATCCCGGCTCCAGCCTCCGCTTTCTGCCGAGTCAGCGGGGCTGCGGCCGCCTGCTTCTCCTCCAGCCGGCAGCGGGTGATGCTGTGCCTTGTTTTGATGGCAGTGGAGTTAGTGATTGTCAGCACCGCGGTACAATCAGCTAATTACACTGCCTACAAACCGAGCACCGGGCGTCCGCCGCTGCAGTTCCCGAGGGTCCGGCCCCTTGCCCCCTTTTCGCCACGGCCGACGGTGGCGGAGCGAGAGATGTTCTCAGGCTCCCGGCCCCTCCATACCCCGCAGGGCCGCGCGCGACCCCAGGTGACCCCAGGTCCTCGGGGGGGCCCCCGTCCCCGCTGTTCCCCCCCCCCCAAGACCCTTCCGCTCCGCCCCCGTCCCCTGGGCATCAGGACAGACTCCTGCTTCCCTCCCGCCGGGTCTGACCCGCCTCCGTCAACTTCTCCTCGGCTTCCAGCCCCAACTCTACAGCAGGATCTGTCCACCCCGCGCGCCCGGCAGCTCCTACTGGCCGAGTGGCCGTGGCTCTGCGACCAACCGCCCTTGGAACCCCGAGGCCGAGGGGGCGGGGCGAGTGGGGGAGGGGAGGCAGAAGCCACCAGAAGGGGCACTGGGCGGGCTCCTGAAGAGCTTCCTGGGAAGGGACCTGGGAGATGGAGACACAGATTCTTGAGAAGTTTATCTTCATGGTGTAGTAGGAAGGGCAAAGACCTACATTCATCTCTCCTACCTACCCTGTTGCCCAAGAAGCTTCCAAGCCCACTCAGTGTTCATGCCCATTTGCAGAAACTGCTTCTCAGGCACCTCAGCTGGAGGCTTGCGCTATCCCGCAGGAGCAGGATTGCCCTTACCAATACCTGAGTTCTTTCTAAGGATTATTATTTTTTTCACAGGGCCACGCAGTGAGATGAGGGCCGCTCTTCTAGTCAAACATTGAACCAACCCCCTTGTGGTCAAAGTGTGACCCTTTTAAGATCAAAGTCACCATTTTTGTGATCTCATGGTAAGCCTCGAGGAAACCATTCCTACTTTGGGCTACTGTTTATTTAAATGTCTATTACATAGCCACCACCTAAAGGGCATTGGTTCTCCTATCCATCAGACACTCTAGGTGATAACACAAAGTAGGCACACGTTCTTTGCGGTCCCAGACAGTATAAAGTCACTAAACTGATAGACTTTACTCGTAGAAAAAGGCGCGCGGGGGTGGGGGTGGAGGGTGTCTACAAGAACTGACAGGCACCGGTCTTGAAGGAGGTGAGATTGAAGCAAGGGTGGATTTGATCATCAACAATAGGTCTGCGGAAGCCCGAGTCATGTGACAGTTAAATTTTCCTTGCTCTTCCTATCTCATATCCGATATCGGGTGTGTTTGTGTGTATTTGGAATAGGAGGCGCTGAGGGGGCAGGGACAGCATTTCTGGGCTCTCTTCACCAATATTTTTATCCTTTAAGTTAGTCTTTCCTTTCATTTCATTTAATTGATGAGCCCAGAGAGGTTATATAATATTCTCTGATTGTAAACGTTGTGGAATTCAGTAGGAAGTAGCCTCAACAGACTGTGGGCTTCGTGTCTTCATATACACAGTATAATAATACCCATTTGTATTGATCCAAAAAGGTCTTACAGTCTACAAAGGAAACTTAGCTGTCCACAGATCCCTAAGCCCAGCAGATGGTCGCATGGATGCAATTAGTAACTTGAATACATGCTAATCATCAGGGACATTCAGCACAAATTCCAAACTCAAACCATTAAACCCAGGAACGTCTCAAGAATAAGGTTATGTGTATTTTAACATTATCTTTGAAAATGAAATAACATTTTTTTCTCCAAAAGCATGGTTTGTTTTATGAACACTTAAGTGAAAGGAATCAAAGTGAAGTAGTAGATAATTGTAAAATTAACTTGCAAAAGACATCATTCCTAAATAACTATATTTTGTACTCATTCGTCCTGAATTTGAGAAGAGCGCAATGTTGTGAGCTACAAAATGTCATTTGAATGTTCACAAATAAATGAAACTAGTAGAAGCAGCCTTCATTCCACTCACAACAGAAAAGCTATAAATTTTGTGAGGATATTATTACAAAACTAGTTATTTTACATTTTGCTCCATTTTACTCTATCCTTATTGCTTCTACCTAGCTGACATGTTTTTTCCTGACTATCAGTTGCATCTTAAATATCTTACCTGAGTTCGATTGCTGTCATCCAAAGCTATAGCTGCATTAGATGTCTTGAGATTTACACTGTAAAATTTTTTCTTCAAAGATGAAAAACAAAGACAATAAAAATGTGTGTGCTCTAGTTCTGTTAGAAAAGCAACAGCAACAGAAAAGAATGCCTGTTCTTAGGGTTGCTGTTGATTTGGCCTGCAGTTACTAGAGAAACTCCGCTGACCTCACTGCATCTGCGGGTCATGTCTAGGCATGTCTAGACACCAGGGAGACTCAAGTTTTAATCCAAGTAAGAATGCTTGTGGTTAAAAGGCCCAAACAGGAGTTTGCATTTGGTTAGACCAAATCCAGGAAGGCACCTTGAGGAGGAATTGTTTACTGTTTTAATTTCTGGTCTTTTGGTGATCAGGGAGATGGGGAAGGACCTTTGAGGAGATGGAGTGAGATTATTGACTGGAAAGAAACCAAGACGCGCATCAAAACAAGAACTTCCTACGTTAGTCTGGCAAATTTATATAGGCTTAACTTACTCCTCTGTATAGAGGGTTAGAGAGGGAGAGGGGGCTTCCCCTTCAGCATACACAAACACCTAAACATTTGCTATTGTTTGATTTTTAGACAGGGACTCAGTGAGCTCGGGCTGGCCTTGAGCTCTTGATTTTCTTGAGACAACCTCCAGATTACCAGCTATTTCTACAGCTTTTGAAAGTTATTGGGGGGAAGAATTTAAGAATGACACTAATTAGAAAGTAATTGTCTTTAGCAGCTTCTTTAAAACTTGTTTTTAAAATGCATAGTCTTGGACTGGAGAGATGGCTCAGAGGTTAAGAGCACTGACTGCTCTTCCAGAGGTCCTGAGTTCAATTCCCAGTGCCCATATGGTGGCTCACAACCATCTGTAATGAGATCTGGTGCCCTCTTCTGGCCTGCAGGCATACAGACAGACAGAACACTGTATACATAATAACTAACTAACTAACTAACTAACTAAACTATATAAATCTTTAAAAAAATGCATAGTCTTTGCTAGGAAGTAGAACCATGGTTTGTTTTTCATGTAGACTAAGACTATCAAATGTCAGATGGTCATATTAATATTCATGATGGTATACTTAGGGACTAGTTTATAAAGTTGAAGCAAGGCTGAGTTGAAGTCAATTTAACATTGGAAAAATCAATGAATCTGTTTAATTATGAGAGGAGATTTTCCTCTGAGCTAACATGAACTGCTGGCAGTTCCATGATTCTGGTTCCATCTCATCGGACTCCCATTAGGAAGAGTGCACTAGGTTCTTAATTAGCTTCTTGCTTATATTTATTGATTAATCAATAGCGTTGCTCTACATATCAAATGTTAATTTATCTTTTAGGCCGATCAGAAACAATCTAACAAACTAGCTTCCTAATTGAAGTTGCTGGAACTCTATGGCTCAGCAGCAGGAACAATTCTTGTATAGTTCCCATCACTAAGGAACACAATCTCCAGAGATGTGCTCTAATTGGAGGGAGAGTTGTTTACAGAGATAATTAAGAGAGTTAAATTATGTTAATCATATCAACACATCATAATATTAATATATAAATTAATATTACATTAATGCATAAAATGCCTAGATAATACATTTATATCACATAGAAATATATTGAGTGTCAAAGTTGTTAGATTAATAAGTGCTTAAGGACTCTTGAATTCTAGTGTTATCTCTGTTATTGTCAACATTTGGGGAAACATAAGAAAAAGCCCAGAAAGAGGGCTATATAGAAAAAATGGTGTTAACTCCAGTAGTAAGAGGTAGGCCTGAAAGCCTCTAGGGAGTTTGAATATCATTCTTCTGGCTGGAAAGCCCCTGATGAATACAAGTGTGTTCTTTTATGAAGGCTAGAACAGCATAGATTGCAGAGGAGATTTGATGTAGACGATTTTTTAACAAGTCTAGAGATGGAGTGATTGAGGAAATACAGGATAAGTAAGAGATTTCATGAAGGGACTTTTACAGGGTTTGGTGGCTGATTCACAGTTTAGCAAGATCAGCAACTGACTTTCAGTGAGGAGCTTGAGGTGCTGAGGCGAACACATGGTCAGAGGACGTTTATGATGAGTTTGGGTCTAAGCAAGTCTGGATTGAGTTAAGTATTTAAATCTGGCAAGAGGTCAAAACTAAAAAGAGAGATTAGAAATTTTCTGACTGTGAAAATTCAAGTTGAACGAAGTCTCCAAGGGTGCATGATAACTTATTCTTGTTGCCATGGTTCTCATAGGAAGGATAAAGTAGGTGAGCAACAGTGGAATGCCTTTGTGTGTGTGTGCTGGGATTGAACTCAGGTACACACTAAATAAGGTGGGTGGTCTTTTCTAGACCGGATGTAGACAGATTAACTTCTGTCACTCAGGGTAGATGTCCTGGTTTGTAAAAGTAACTCTGGGGTTTCAGAACAGCTAACTGGTTGTCTAGGTGCGTTGTTGCAGAGAGTTTATTTTCCTCCAGAGGTCTAACATGTATTCTTAACTCTGTAAAGCCAAAAAAAGAAACTACCTCATCAACTAATTTATTTACAAGAATGAAAATAATTTATGTCATTCCCACAGTCATCACACTGTGTATACCAGTTCTGGTCTTTATTTGTACTGTCTTCATCTGCTGCTTAAGCCTCTTTGATTCCTCTATGGAACTTATATATAGTTTAGCAATTATATAGCTCACTTCTTTAGTTCCTCTAAACCCATAACATATATATCAAGGATTCCATTGTATTTACATTTAGCTAGGTTTATATTGTCTTCTTCCCTCTTAGCTCATCTATAGCCTGTTTAAAGTTTGAGCCTTTAGTCACCTTCATTCTTCCTCTTCTCTCCTTTCTTTTGAACTCAATATATTCAGTCTATAGTTAGCATCTTCCATTAATAAAAGTATCAACCATCTATACTTTTTAATTTATTATTTGTTTCAGACAATATACAACGCTGTCACATGTACAGACTCATTTGTTAAATTAGTATACTTTGTGTGCAAACATTTTTCCACACTCAGAGTTATTTTTGCTGTACTGTCTTGGTTTTTAACTTAAAACTTGAAAATTATGTCTCAACAATTTTTTGTAATTTTTTACACTGCAGTTTGAACACAATGAGATTGAGTTTATATATAGGGTATAGAGTCCACTCATTGTTTTATGAAATGGTGTACATATACTATTGCTAGAAGAAGCTTCCAATGATGGAAAATTTTTGCCAAAACAGCTATATCCCTCTACTTTTATTAATAGTGCCACGTGTTTGCAAATGAATAGATGGGCCTAGAATTATAACTTACAGTTTAAGGAATGAATGGTAAAGAAATTAAATAGGAGACAGGCATGGTGGTGCACACCTTTATCTCAGCACTTGGGAGGCAGAGGCAGGCGGATCTCTGTGAGTTCCAGGCCACCCTGATCTTCATAGTAAGTCACAAGCCACCCAGGACTATACAGTGAGACCCTGCTTCAAAAAAAGAAAGAGGGCTGATTATAATTCTGTTTATTACTTCATAAATCAAATTTAGTGTTCAGTGTAGGTAAATGCCAGACGTGTTTGGATGCTCCAGGAGATCAGAAGATGGCATCAGATCTTTTGGCGCTGGAGTTACAGGCGATTGTGAATTGGCCAATAGCCGGGGTGCTGGGAACTGACCTGGGTCCTCTGCGAGAGCAGCAGGGACTCTTAACTACTGAGCCTCTCTTTACCTCCGTGCGTTACCATTGTATTGGTTGATGCCTTTGGGACTTGACCATGCCTTGATTTATCAATCAAGTCAAACTCCATATGTTTTCTTTTTCCTTAAAACAGTATTTTTAAATTTTATTTTACATACCAACCCCAGTTCTGTCTCCCTCCTCTCCTCCTGCTCCCCCCACCTTTCCCCCACCTCATCTGATCTCCATGTTTTAAAACGGAGAAGTTGAGTTTTTGGCCATTTTCATGCTCTGCACCATTTTCACAGGCATGCTAGACAGGAGAATGTATCTCTCTGCCTCCTTTTCTTTCTGATTCCTCATTCAAATGGAATGGAGCCTCCTTTTTCTCGTTTTCTTACACAGGCTTAGCCCTCTTACTCAAACCTCTACAGAAAGAACATCATCATTTTGTCCTGTAGATAATTTATCTGATACTTTAAAAAAAGAATTTCTTAAAAGACGATGTCTTAGGTAAGAGAATAGATGTCTTATAATGGGAACTTTAGACATTACACATGATCAGTTGAGAGATTTTTTTTTCTTTTTGCCTTTTAAATTTTAGTATTTTCTGGCTAAGCGAGGTTAAAACGGCATGGTGGTACATGCCTGTTGTCCCAGCAGGAAGGTTAAAGACAGGAAGATTGCTGCAGTTCCAGGCCAGCCTGATCCACGTAGTAATCACTAAACCAATCAGGGCTGCATAAGGAGACTATCTCAAAAGAAAACAAAGTCACAAAGCCCAACAACCGAACAATGAATTAAGAGGTTTGCTTAGTCCATGTTGGATCCAAGTTTTTATATCCCTTCCTAATAAAATTATTTAAATGTACATTTATTTACTTGTGTGTGTGGACATACGTATACTATGGCACACATGTGGAGGTCAGAGGACAACTTATGGTCCATGATTCTCTCCTTTCACCCGTGGATCCTGGGGACTGAACTCACCCTTACTTACTGAGCCCTGTTGTTAGGCCTCTCATCTCCTCTCCATAGACCTTTAGTATTGAGCATTTAGTTGTCACTGGGAATTCAGTTTTAAGCTTAAGGAATCAGTATTTTTGTTTTGCCCTGACCATCCCCCTGAGCTACTTATTTCAATATTTTCTTGGCTACTGAAAACTTGGAGCCATCTTGTGAGTATCCTGTCTTTAAAATACTGTATTCAAATAATAGCTTGTGCGTATGTTAATTTTCCTTCTCTGGATTATTGAAAGGGAAGGCTGAGTTCTGTGTTTTGTTTGAACCACTCAGCACACAGCAATGTCTCATGTTAGTGGGCCGTCAGAAGGAAGTCTGTGTCAGTAAAGCAGAAGGGACAGATGCCATTCGTGGGAAGGAGGCCACTGAGATCAGGTGATTGAAGTCCTACGTAAATGAAGGAAGTTTTACATGATGTTTACTCTGATTTTTCTTTCCTGAAATATAAGTACATTCTTATTATATGGTTCTATTAATGCTTTCTGAGGCCTGCTTGGGCCTGTTGCAGAAAGTAATGCTAGGGAAAGGTTCAACATCTCACCAGTGACTAAGCCTCGGCAACTCAGGGTCGCTGAGCAGTAAGTTATCTGGGAAGGTGAAATCCTAATCGTTAAACACTTGGCACTATTAATTTAGCAGTGTAAACAGTAGGCATTTTCCAAGGAAAAGCATGTATTTGCTATTGTCTGTGTTGCCTTGAGTTCAAGAGCAAGTTCTATTTCAGCAATATGCAGGGAGTCTGAAATTTTAGTTTTGCCATTTCTAACACAATTAAAAATACTTTGAAACTGTGTGGAAAATGGCAAAAGAAGATGAGAACAAGAATCATCAAGATAATCTCTTAAGGCATTGTTGAGTAATTAAATATGTATTGTGATTTAAAAGTCTCATTGATAGCAAGGGGATCTTTTAAAAAAATCTTTTTTTTAAAATTTATTTATTTATTTATTAAAGATTTCTTTCCCTCCCCCAATCAAAGTCCCCCTCCCTCCTCAGCCCAAAGAGCAATCAGGGTTCCCTGCCCTGTGGGAAGTCCAAGGACCACCCACCTCCATCCAGGTCTAGTAAGGTGAGCATCCACGAAACTGCCTAGGCTCCCACGAAACCAATAGGTACAGTAGGATCAAAAACCCATTGCCATTGTTCTTGAGGTCTCAATAGTCCTCATTGTCCACTATGTTCAGCGAGACCGGTTTTAACCCAGGCTTTTTCAGACCCAGGCCAGCTGGCCTTGGTGAGTTCCCGATAGAACATCCCCATTGTCTCAGTGTGTGGGTGTCCCTCTCGCGGTCCTGAGTTCCTTGCTCGTGCTCTCTCTCCTTCTGCTCCTGATTTGGACCTTGAGATTTCAGTCCGGTGCTCCAATGTGGGTCTCTGTCTCTGTCTCCTTTCATCGCCTGATGAAGGTTACTATTCAGGAGGATGCCTATATGATTTTCATAAAAAATCTTGATATTGAGTGCTGGTATCTCTCCAGTTTCATTCAAATGACGGAAGAACCTGGAAAAGCAGTTGCTGCTACTGATGCACGAGAGTCTGCTACTGGTCGTGCGTGTAGTGTGTGTGTGTGTGTGTGTGTGTGTGTGTTTGGAAGTCTTGGAACTTTAGCTATGCTGTCAGCTTTGGAAGAAAGTGCCCCGCTTTACCACACTGAGTTGACATTTATAACCATTAACAGCCATATTGGTGTAGAAACATTAATTTTACTTTTTTCCATTTGTACAGGGGTAACACACAGCATCAAATATGGAAGGTGTTATCTACGGGGTTCTAGTGCAAAAACTAATATTCTCTAAATTAAATAAAAACATTGCTGTCTAGGTTTTAATTATTTCTAGTCCGATTGCAGTGTCAGAGGATAGGAGAGCAGCCTTCGGCGTCTTAAGGTGTTTCCAAAGCGTGGCAGTTTGGGGACCTCTTTCACGAGTAAAGAATGAGAAATACATCATGGGTGGCTGAAATAAATAAGATACTGAGAGGGTAGATCATTCAAGCCCTAGTTGCACTTTTCTTATCATATGTTATGGACATAGCACACATATCAATAATGGATCAAACTGAATCAACCTTAATTTGATCTTAGGTGGTCATTCTTAGATGACAAAATACTCGGTTATCTAGCTCAGTGGGCCTTATACTATATATACTATATATATACATGCCTAGGTATTTAATGTCTAGAGAAATCCTTAACGTCTGTATTTTATCTTAGTCCACCACTGCTGAGTTTTGACACCCATGCCACTCCAACATGCCAGGAGCTCCCCGGACCCATATTCCACTACCACTAGTTAATAGCTATACATGCCTAGTACCAAATGTCTCAGTCTGGGTCCTTGAACACAGGACTCTGAGTTGTAGGTGGAGAGGCTTTAGGAAACTGAAAAAATATAGGATTCGGTAGGGGGAGATGCCATCTGTAACCAAGTCGTGGTAGGGACGTTGGCCTATCTTGTGGGGCAACTGTAGAGGTACAGTCGCCCTTCAGAGTTGTAAGTTGAACCAAAGGAGTCAGTTTTCATAAAAGGGAAGATGGTAGGCACCTCAAATTGTGCGCCAGCTATCCTGATCCCAAGCAGGCAAAACTCTCAACTCTTCCCAAACAGATTGTTCCTGTATATTGTGAAAGTTGGGATTACTTGGAACAAGAGGGCCATGTCTGTTTAAAATTCCTTCTCCTTTTATGATATAGTACTGCTGCTCTCTTTGCAGATTAGGAAAATGTTGATGGATTTGTAAGATCTTCGTTTTACCACTGACTCCACGGTATATGAGAGAATTAATTGGCTGAAGAGAAAGAAAGGCAATTGGAAGTGGCGATGCTTAAGGCTTTGACCAAGCCTTGCTTGGTCTTCACCCTGTTCAGCTTGTATCTTGGAAGGCACAGGTGGTATTCTTACTAAATATGCAAATGTCAGAAAGCCAAAAGAGATAATCGACTACATACCAAAATTTTCATTCACTGTAGCAATGACCCACATTTAACACATGCGCAGGAAATATGGCTCAGTGGTTGAGTACTTGCCTGGTTTGCACGTGGTCCCGGGTTCCACTTCAGCACTTCAGATAAGTGAGTTAAACAACACAGTGAAATATGATGGCATAGCTGCAATATGTAGTTTCCTGTTCTAGCTGACCGATGCAACAGTAGCACGGACAGTGAAGAGAGTAAACGATCATTTGTGCTTGTTAACAAGACAGCCACTTCGAGCACTTATTTTATGCCAGGTGTGGTCTCTAAAGGACTTTATGCATAGTTTTATAATTTAACCTTGGCAAGATCCCTTTAAGACCACAGTCAAGTTGCTAGCAGAAGCGACAGTGCCTAACATTTATAGAGCACTTACTGAGCTCCAGGTATGCTTCTAGCATTTCACTCCTAATTCTCATAATAACCCTACCAAGTGTGCGCTGTCATTTTCTTTGTATACACGAGGAAGCGGAGGGACGGAGTGGTGGAATCACTTTGAGCCCAAGCCCTGGGCTGAGCTGGGATCCATCTCAGTGTGATGGATTAGCATGGAGCCCGCAGTCTAGTTCTTCACTTTAGTTCTGTCTTTCCAGACAGAGGTCGGGAAGGTTAGGGAGCATGTGGAACTTTGCTGAGCTCCTAACGAGATGGAGGGCTGGGATTGAAACCTACAATGCTGACCATACAGCTCTGCTTTGTATTTTCTCTTTCTTTCTTTCTTTCTTTCTTTCTTTCTTTCTTTCTTTCTTTCTTTCTTTCTTTCTTTCTTTCTTTCTTTCTTTTTGGTTTGGAGCCTGTCCTGGAACTAGCTCTTGTAGACCAGGCTGGCCCCGCACTCACAGAGATCTGCCTGCCTCTGCCTCCCAAGTGCTGGGGGGTTAAAGGCGTGCGCCACCACCGCCCTGCTTGTATTTTCTTTTTAACTGTCCTGTACTACCTTCCTATAGTTTATGGGCCAGGTGTATTAATTATCTACTGTAATCTTGATAGCAACCCTGTGAAATTGTATTCACCAACAGGAAACTGAAAGTTATGAAGATTCGAAACCAGTTGCCAAGATCCTGCAGATAGTGTTTTGTTTCATGTTGTTTCCTTTCTTTTGTTCTTTCAGGTTTGTTTTTGAGTCAAGGCCTGTGCTGGAACTCCTTCTGGAGCCCAGCTGCCTCCTGAACCCAAGCTCTTCCACTCCCAGCCTTCCTGAGAGCTGCGGTTCCAGGTGGGCCTCCCCACACGCAGTTAACAGATTGTGAGCTGCTAAGTTGCAAATGCACAGACTTCGTAGACATTTTGCCATGCTGGAAGAGAAAGATGTGAGAAAACCAGCAGCCTCGGGGAAGAAAAGCATACTTGCAAATTCAGTGTGAGGTAGTGACGTGATGTCGGTGCCCACAAAGGGAGGCCGCCTGATGCTGCATCCGAGGACGGTATCTGGAGCAAGGAAGGTGGCAGTCCCACTCCAGTGCTGGTCAGCTGACACGCCTGGAGTATTGTGAGCAGCTCCTTTGAAAGAGGATGTAAATCTGTCACACAGTGTGACGCTCATCTAGATGCCGGCTTGCCACACTGCACTATCTGAGCAATATGTACCCAGGAACAGCTGCCAACAAGCTGAGAAAATTTAGCCTCTAAAATGGGAAGACATGAGAGGTCAAATAGCTAAAATTTAAAATACCCTCCCCACATGATGGAGGATTACATCTAATCTGTATAGTTTCAGTGTGGAAGACTAGGTTGCGTAGGTACAAAGTGGTGGAACTGGCTCCTTATAAGGACTGATTGCTATTTGGGTTTTTTTTTTTTTTTTTTTTTTTTGGATATGAAATCAACTTCTTAGTTGAGAGTCAGTTCTTTTTCACCGTGGAAGAAACTGGTCACTAATTGTGGGTGTTACACACACACACACACACACACACACACACACACACACTTGTGGAGTGGGTATATCTTTAAACACTTTAGAGAATAGTCTACATTTGCTATGGGGGAATCAGATGAGTTCTGGAAAAGCTAAGGGATTGTCCTAATGGAGAACACCTGTGAGGGGCCAGCTACCAATCAGCTTTGACAGCCTGGCATATATGGAGTAGCCCAACCCTCACCAGACAGGTGTGAGCAAGAGTTGGCAGTAAGGAGTCTAGCTGGCTTTCTAACTCTGGCCCACACTTTTTAGGGGACTAAAGCAATTTTTAGAAATTTACTGGCAAGTGTGATGTGTTTTTATTAATCTTAATTTTTAGTGTAAGCCACGTATTTCGCCTACAGTCCCCTGAACCCCGAACGCTTGGCTCTTCGTAAGTACGTTCTTAACAAGTGCTCGCTAGTGCAATCTACTGTCCGTATTGGTAACTTTGTACTTAGGTTGCATCTTGATTGCTTAAGTGTTTTAAACGTCGAACAAGGTTGTTTTTCTTTTTGGAAAAGTGTGAGGACTGGAAGGTTGAAGACTCGGTGTGTTTTCTTTTTCGTATGTGTGTGTGTTGATGTGTTAGTTCACTGAGGACTCACCCCCGTCCCCCCCAAAATCCTAAGTTTTAGGCATATAAAATTTTCAGCCCTCAATTACATATTGCTGATGAGTTAAACCTAGGCCCCTCTGTGATCCTGCCTTGCTTTTTTTTTTCATTGGTTTCAGGTCTCCACACAGACTGCTTTGGAATCATGAGAGATGAAATTGCAACGGCAGTTTTTTTTGTCACAAGATTGGTGAAAAAACACGAGAAATTGAGTGCACAACAGATAGAAACCTTTGCACTAAAGCTGATGACCATCTTGTTTGAAAAGTACAGAGGTCATTGGCACCCTGACTGTCCTTCTAAGGGACAGGCTTTCAGGTGAGGGCCCGTGTGGCATAGGGGAAGGAGCAATCAGCCAGCAAGAGCATCTGCTAGGAAAACGCAACTTTTTTTTTGTCCATCTTCAAGTAAGGGATGTTTTATGAGCTCCCATTAATTTGTTTGAACATAGGTTTAAAATAAAGAGGTGTGATATAGTCGAACACTTCATTAGACGATTTCTCATCTGCTTGCCATAAAATATAGACCATGAACATCTATCTGGTGAGCTAACAATGTGATTGAATGTTACCACACCCATTCTGAGTCAGCATGGCAAAAGTTAATGACGTTTCATTTCCATTTGTAACCATGGAGGGCGGGGGAGGATGAGGAGAAGATGTGGGTAAGGTAAGATCTGTACCCATGATGTGTGATTTCCTACTAAGGAACCCGTCAACTCACCTTCCATGCCCCTTTCTTGCTTTACATTCCCCCCAGGTGTATCAGGATAAACAACAATGAGAATAAAGACCCTATATTAGAAAGGGCTTGTTCTGAGAGTAATGTGAATTTTTTTCACCTGGGACTTCCAAAGGAGATGACCATATGGGTCGATCCCTTTGAGGTGTGCTGTAGGTGAGTAATTTTGTGGTTTGTGTGCTTGGTGACCCCTAGGAAACCTACGTTGTTTAGCTAGCTCTATGTACCTTTGTGAAAGCTGATGCCCAACGCATTGGCGTAGCAACCAGGACCCTATTTGATCACGGTTGGTTTCAGATGCAAACTTTTACCCAACACGCATTTCTATTAGGGATGGTTGATTTGGCAAGCACAAAGGCACTGCCGTCTATTTGCAGTGGGAGTTGGGTCATTGCAACCTGTTGCATACTGCGGATTTGTAACTTTTAAGTACTGTAGGAACCACCAGGAAGGCAAGGGGATCAGCTAGCGTGGAGGATAAGTCAGTCCATTAATTGACCCAAAAAAAAAAGTTTTTTTTTCTTTCTGACCAATTAAATGGATATACTCACTAATTGTAACATCCTTGTAGCTTCAGGTTACATTGTCGTTCAGTTTGCCTTTTTAGAAGAGTCAGACTCTTTGAAATAGCTTTTTAAAAGTTAAAGTTAGTGTGGTGTCTCCAGACCAAGAAATTATGCTTGTGGGAAGTCGAGTCTCTAATGACTATTTTCTTTCCCTGCTTAGGTATGGTGAGAAAAAGGATCCCTTTACCATTGCTTCTTTTAAAGGCAGATGGGAGAACTGGGAGCTAGCTCAGCACATCAGCTACGCAGTCAGTAGGGCCACAGCTGATTGCTCGTCTGGAACATCTTCTGATGAAGAAAGCTGCAGCAGGCAGCCCCAAGTCATTCCCAAAGTCAACAATCCCAACAGCATCTACCAGGTTGCGTGTGGTACACCATTCTGTTCTAATTCTAGAAAGAACACGCTCGCAAGAAACAGAGCAGGAAGTAGTGAAATGACAAAGAGAGGCCCTCTTCCCAGTGTCGGTATTTTGGCAGAACCTTTTCTGTCCCCCACCCCTGTGTTGTCGCCACTTAACTGAGTTTTTATGAGGCATGGTCTTTTGTTGTCCTGTTTCTTCATACCTGGCTTTCTTTCTACTTATATTCCTTCTGGTTAAATTGTAATATTTAGTGGGTTTTGTTTTTGAGACTCCCTACAGAGCACAGGCTAACCCATAATTTCTGATCCTTCTGCCTGTCACCTGCTTGAGTGCCGTGATTTAGAGGTGTGTGCCTCCTCACTCTATTTAGTAGGTTTTATTAGTCAAAATAGCATGTAATTTAGAGAAAGCCTAAACTATTTAAGGAAGACCAGGACACTTTCGTTTTGGCACTAGTGCAGTTTGTTTTCAAAACAAAACCATAACAAAAGAGCTTTTTAGAAAGTCATAGCCACTTTCAAGGGAGCTTGTCCAAAGAACAAAGCACTCAAATAATCAAAACCAGTAGAATTGTAACCCATCAACAGACACACATTTATATAGAAATAAGTTGCATGAAATAATACTAATACCAGGAGCCTCCTATTCCATTACTTCTGACTGTGTTCAGCAGATAATTCCAGGCATCTTAAGTTGATTTCATGACCCGTTTGCAAAGAAAAAAAAAAAAAAGCAAATCTGGCCAGGTGATGGTGGTGCACGCCTTTAATTTCAGCACTCTGGGTGGAGGGGCAGAGAGGCAGGCAGATCTGTGAGTTCAAGGCCAGCCTGGTCTAGAAGAGCTAGTTCCAGGACAGGCTCCAAAGCTACAGAGGAACCCTGTCTCGAAAAGAAAAAAGAAAAGAAAAAAAGAAAGAAAAAAAAATCAGTTTTGAAGAACTTCTCTATCGATTTTCATGCATGCTTTCTCCTTGACCACTTTTGTTAACATTCAGTTGTTTTCTCTTAAGAGTTACCAGCCAATCTTTTAAATTACTTCCATATTGCTTTATTAACCCCCCCAAAAACCCCTAAAATTTGGCATCATTATAGAAGTTAGTTCTTTTGTTTTCTTCCTGAAGTTATTTCTTGAGACTTGAGTCTCAGACATGGAATTTCCAGGCCATTAAATATGGCAGTCACTTATTCCTGATGTATGGCTTAAGTACATACTAGAAAGCTGTATTTTAAAAAATTTTCACGAGTTCTACTCTCTGCTTTACCATTTTCCCTAAAACTGGCCTGTTCTCAAAAGGCAAATAATTTGAAAAATAATTCCTGTATAGATAGCACTAATAAAATTAAGTATTCAAAACTGTTTCATGAAATTTCACCTATTCTTTGACGTCCTTATGTGTTATCGTATATTATGGGTCAGAAACGTATTAAACTTCTGTTATATTACTAGAAAACATTTTCCTTTAGTTTTTTAAAACTGCATGTGTGTGTGTGCAAGTGCATCTGTGTCTGTGAGTGCGTGTGTCTGTGTCTCTGGGTGTAACAGTTTAAAACTATATAACACTACATTTTTAGGTAAGTTTCAGATCTGTAGGAGGCTAACCTGTTCTATGGTAAGGTCTTTCCAGAATGTGGTCTATTAAACATCTTTATGAATTATTTGTGATGTTTGTAATGGGTGGGTCTTACCCCAGAGATCATTTTTAGGCAGTTTTGGGATGTCAGGAGGGAGTGGGGTAAGGGTGAACATTTGAAATGCTTTATGTTTTTATCTTGTGTGTGGTCTAGGAATTGAACCTAGCATGGTAGATATCTACTTAGACACGAGTTGAGTTTCCAGGCCTAACTCATTACCTCTTCTTTTCTTTTTGAGACGGGAAGGCCCCAAGCAGGCCTTAAACGTTTGATTCTCTACCTCAGTTTTATAAGTAACTGGGTAATCCTTATTAATAACACAGCTTACATATTTAGAGTTTCACTTAAGAGTTCATTTTAGGGGCTGGAAAGCTGGCTTAGCAGTCAAAGGGAACTGGCTGTTCTTTCAGAAGACCCAGGTTCAATAGCCAACATAACCATGAACATAGTAGCTCATAGCCAATTGTAACTCCATAGGGGATTTGACACTCTTCTGGTTTCAACTGCCCTCAGTGGGCACCAGGCACGTACATGGTACAGACACTCATTCAGGCAAAACATTCATACACATAAAAAAAAAATTTTTGCTTAAAGATATAAATTGATGATCTCTATAGATATAAAATTTTGGAAATTTTTCTGTAGATGACTATTTACTTGTAATCCCTATGCTTTGGAGGAACTTCCCTTCTGAGTTCAGGGCTCATAGTCTCAAGAGCTGCCTATCAGTCCAGAGACCTTCACACATTGTTTTTTCTGTCTTTTCCCTTCCCAGGTGGAAACCTTCAAACAGTCCTTCCAGCCGTGGTTGTGCCTCTCTCGTAGAAAGCATTTGGCAGATGGTCGTGGGGGTGTCTTGGGGGCTGCTTACCACCCAGTGCCCAAGAACCCTAAATGGCGCCGGGTGGACAGGTACCACTGGGTCAACACACAATTGTTCAGTGGCCAGGCAGCACCGTGCAAGCTTGAAGGAGAGGCCTTGTCTTCCCTAAAGCAAAAATGAGGCCAAAGCCAAGAAATTCCCCACTAGAAGGAAGAACTCTCTCAGGGATGGGAGTGCACACAGATCACCGCTCGACTTTTAGCTATACTTTTTAATTCTTATTTAACTTTATATAAATTTTTATGTAACACTAGTGAATGTATGTGTGTCTTGTAAAGTGATTGGATGGAGATATTGCCTGTGATAAAATAAAATTAATTATGGGAAGGAAGAGTTGAAATAAACGCACTGTGTTTTTAACAAACCCCTTAGTTCAGTTTGCTGCAAGGCAGTTTTAAGTCTCTTGTTTCATCTGTGGTCATTGTTTTAAAAGCAGGTTTTCAATTATGGGAGAGTGATCCTGACAGAAAGCTCTTCTGGATTCGTCTGATATTTGTGGTAACCAGTCTATTGTATACATCTTGTAAGAAATTGTTGGAATTTATTTTTTTTAAGATAAGAGAATTCCCTTGGTATGTCTTTTGAAAAGTTTGATTTACTACTAAAACTTCATAGACATACTCATATGAACTATTTTATAAAAGTGGTACCTGCTTCTTATAAAGAATTCAAACCAAGCCAAGCAACTCACTATGAAAAGAAATAAAAATCCCTATTACTGAGCCACATGCGACCATTACTAATATTAAATGGTGGCCTTGTTGCAGGTACATTTTGCCTATGTACAGACTTAAGAATGGATACAGAGGCTTGCAGATCCCTCGGTGGGGAGAGACTTGCCACCAGTCCTGTCCCAGAGTTCAGGTCCCAGGACTCAGGTGGCGGAATGGAGGAATGACACCTATAAGTTGTCTTCCGCTCTCCACATGTGTGCCATGGCACCTGCAGGCCCCTCCCCAAATATGTGAACATAAAACTCTTTTTAAAAGATTCAGTAAGAGACCCATGCTAGAGGAGCTATCCATTCAGTATTTACATTTGGTTTTATTTGATTTTCATAAAGCAACAAACAACCTTGAAATGGAATTGAAAGTGGCCTGAAATGGTTCAAAGCTTTCCCACGCCAGAATATCTAATTTCTTAAGTTTTATCTGGGATTCAACATTATGTTGGTGCAGTATTTAAAACTTTTCTTATTTTATATTTACCCATTTGTTGCTATACCCACCATCTGAGTTAGGATTATTAAATTTTTGTCATTTATTTACAATATTATTGTGTGTGTGTACATTTTCATGTGTGTGCGCATGTTTCTGTGTGTACACTCGCTCATGAAGACCAGGGGTCTACTCTGAGTGTCTCTTCAATGTTTCTTCTCATTTTGAGACAAGGCCACTTACTTGGAACCTGCTCATTGGAGAGATGGGCTGGTTTGCAAACCTCCTGTCTCCCCCTCCTGGGTGCTGGGATTACAGGCTCATGCAGTGGTGCCTGGCTTTTTAAGGGGGTGCTGGGGATCTGAACTCAAGCCATTAAGTTTGAACAGCAAACACTTTACTAACAAGCCTCCTCCCTAGCTCTCCTCTATGTCACTGGAGAACGACTTAAAGACTTCATATGTATGAGTGTTTGCCTGTGTGTGCATGGGCACCATCAGGGTGCCTGGTGCCCATGGAGGCCTATTCTGAGCCTTTGAGACAAGCGACCTCCCTCTTGAGTGTTAAGCTTTGTCCCCTTGCATAAGATCATCCCAGCTGGACCTTTTAATCCCTTTGAGAGTGGCAGAGAGGGGTAGAGGCCCTACCTGAGGATCTAGCTCCGCCCTACTACCTGTCCTGCACAGCTCGGCCTGAGGTTTATGTGGCCTTTAGGGGATGTTAGAGTAATAAGCTGGGGAAGATTAGGGAAGGGGGGGGCTCTAAGTATGTGGGTACAGAAAAGCCTTCATTCCTGTTGGGTAATGCTTTCCAGGTGTGGCCTGTTGGGGGCGGTGCGCCCATACCACTGTAAGTATTTCTTAACCTATGCTCTGGAAGGGGGTGTAGTAAACTCATCGCTCCCTGGAGTGAACTTTGGTGGAATCATGCCCCAGTTTGACCTTGAACTTACAAAGGGAATATGTTGCTTATCTCTCCTCCTGGGAAGGAATTTTAGCAGCAAGTCCATAAGAAGGCATCAGATCCCCTGGAATGGGTGTTACAGATTGTTGTGAGGTATAGGGACCAAACCAGGGTCCTCTGCAAGAGCACTTAGTGCTCTTAACTGCTGAGCTGTCTCTCCAGTCAGGCCATGCCAATTTTAATACTGGGATGTAACATATTCTATGCTGAAACAATTATTCATGTAGCTTTTCATTTATAGTTCTATTTTAAATGGTTAGATGCTTGTTAGGAGTCTTTTGTGTGAAATCTGTTTTGTTGGAGTTTTTTCTTAGGAGACTTTTCTACAAATGGTTCATAGGTATGATGTGAATTCAGCTGTGGTTTTTTGCTTTGTTTCTGTCTTCTAAACACAATGAAATGGTGTTTCTGGCACTGTTTATTGCAGGGAGAAAAACTGAGGTCCATTTGATTTCTTGGAACTCCTCGCCATGTACCAAACCATGTACGTTTTACTTTCTTAGGTATCTGTTTTGTCTGCCAATCTAGAAAATTAATTCTCTGTACTAGAATTAAATGTTCCAGTCAGCCGTTCTATATCAGTTTTATATATGTATATATATTATAATCTTTCTGATGTGCACATTTACTTTTCCATAATCATCTTAGTCACATTTCTACTGCTGTAATAAAACAAATCATGACCAAGGCGACTTAGAAAAAAAAAGCATTTATTTGTGCTTAGGGTCCCAGATGGTTTGAGTCCATGATGGCCAGGGAAGGCATGGGCAGCAGGACAGCTGAGAGTTCACCTCTCAATCAGGAGACAGAGAGTGCCCGGGGAATGGCAGGAGGCTTTGGAAACCTCAAGCCAGCCCCCTGTAATGCACCTTCTCTGTCTTAGCTCCGGTTTCTATTGTGAAGAGACACCATGACCATGGCAACTCTTATAAAGGAAAACATTTAATTGGGGTTGGCTTACCGTTCAGAGGATTAGTCCATTGTCATGGTGGGAAACATGGCCGCACGCAGACTTCGTGGTGCTGGAGACGTAGCTGAGAGTTCTACATCTGGATAGGCAGGCAGCAGGAGACTGTGACACACTGGCCAGGCTCGGCTTGAGCTTCTGAGACCTCCTTAGTGACACACTCCTTAGTGACCTCCTACCAGCACTACTTCCTATGGGAGCCATTTTTATTCAAACCACCACACCCTCAGAAAGGGCCACACCTCTCCATCCTTCCTAAGCAGCCACCAACTGGGGACCAAGTCTCCTTCAGACCAGCCCAGGAGTCTGTGTCACCTTTGCATGCCTCATTCTCCATCCATCTCATGGACAGCAACCAGCGTTATAAGGGGTCATTTTGTCCTTTCATCTGCATTTGACCACTTTAATCTTTTTTATTTTTCTTTAAACCTGGTTGTCTTAAGCCTTCCTCTGTCCATTTGATTCTCATTCCTGCTCAGTCTATGTCTTGTTTCTACTCTCTTTATTAGTTCTAAAATACTTTGGAATTTAATTTGTGGCTTTCTTTATAGTCTACATTATTGTATTTTTAACCATCTAGTTGTAAATGTTTCAACTATATTGTTTAAAATATAAAACATGAAGTTTTCTTTTGTGTCTTGACTTAGAATGTCTATTACCATGGATTCTTCTGTATTTTCTGTTAATCTTCTTAGTTGTAGTGTTAATGTAGTTACCACACTGGCTTTTTCCTTGTTCCAGTTTAAAGCAGACAGTTCTGTATGGAATTTTCATTTTTGAAGTATGGGGTGCATGATCCTTTTTTGTCTTCTTATAAAGTCTATTCATCTTCAGTGTTGGGCTTAGCTATTATTTTAATCTATTTTTATACAGCCTAAACCATACAGTTGATATTGGAGGGGAGCTTCTCATCTGGTGCTGTATGAATCTTAGGAGAAAAACACACTCTGTTGTTTGAGTTTTATTAAACACTCTGTATGCTCAAGGCCCTAGCACAGCCAGGACAGAGCTGGGGGACAGAGTATTCATTTGCTTTCTGTTACTGGTATAAAGGCCATGGCCAAAAGAACTTGGGCATAAAAGGGTATTTCATCTTACAGCTTCCAGTCCACTGTGAAGGGAAGTCAGGACAGGAACTCAAGGCAGAACCTAGAAGCAGGGACTGAAGCAGAGGCCGTGAAAGAGAGCTGCTTGATCCTCAGGCTCACGTTCAGCAATCCTTTCTTATACTTCTTAGGACCACCTGCTCACGGGTGGCAGCCCCTACAGTGGGCTGGGCCTACCCATGTCAATCACTAATCAAGACAATGCCCCACAGACTTGCCTATAGGCTAGTCTGATGGAGGTATTTTCTTAACTGAAGGGCCCTCTTCCCCAGAGACTTTAGTTTTTGTCACATTGGCAGAAAATGAAGCAACACATGTCCCATTAGAGCCTTTGGGGTAGGTCTGCCTGAGATTCTATATAAAGATATTGTTTTCACACATCTCATCTCTTTACCTGCAGCTTTCCCTGGCTTTTTATGGGTTTTAGTGAGCTATTTGATGTCATTTCTTCTTCATACATGGGTCATTTTCTCTGTCGGGTCAGGTTTCATGATTCTTTGCTTTTCTCTTGGTTTGCATGACTTTTATTTGACGTGTATGGATGTGCATTTCTTAGGGCTTATCCTCTTTGAGATTCACTAGGCTTCTCCAGTTATGTCTCTTGCCAGATTTGCTCACATTTTGGGTCTTATTTCTTTGGTTACTTTGTTGTCTTGAGTGCAGAATCTTTGGCGCTGTCCCATAGGTCTCTGGAGCTCTATTCTCTTGTTCCTATAAGATCATTTATATTGTTCTAGCTGACAATCCATGGGTGGTTCTCCCTGTGATCCCCATTTTCCGGGCAGAGGGGCATTTCTGGTGGCAGTTTACTGCAGTGAAGCAGTTACCATGTGGACATTTGTTTGTCTTGATGTCTGTCCTGGTCCTGTGGATAGGGAGAGCAGACTTCTGGGGTCTTTCATGATCTTTGCTTAGTGGTGATGCGTATGGGTTATTTATTACT